ACAGATTGCACTTCACTTCGCCGCACCATCAAAATAATAAGGCATCCACATCGACTTTCTCACATCTATTTCTTTCAAGATGAGGAGGAAGCTGGAAAACGTGAATGCAATATTTGTCATGATGAAATAAATCTGGGATATGGGAGCTACTGCTGTGCAGATTGCGACTATTTTGCTCATGTAAATTGTGCAATTGATAAAGATCTTTTGGAAGATGAAGAGTCCAAACTATCAGATGACTTGACTGCTATCTCTCCTGCTTTTCAGGAAATCAAACCTGGAGAGATAAAGCATTTCAGCCATAAACACAACTTAATATTGAGTGATGATGGGGTTGAGGATGGCCAAAGTTGTGAAGGTTGCATGCGTTCCATCTCTACTTCATTTTACTATTGTGCACAATGTAATTTCTTTCTCTGTAAGTGCTGTGTTCATGAGTTACCCAAGAAGGTGCGTCACTGGACTTGCATGCATTTACGAGAACTCTTTTTCTATTCCATTTTTAATTGTGGCTATTGCTGGTTTTGGATTAGTGGGTTTGGCTACAATTGTACTGCATGCAACAAGCTTATGTGCATTCGGTGTCATGAAATTCTCGACACTCGTATTGTAAATATAGAAGGACAGGAGCACTTCCTTTTCTTTGACCACAAATACGAAGGGAAATGTTATGGTTGTGATGATGATTTTTATCGAAACAGTTTTAGATGCAAGGACAAGAAATGCAATTTTGCGTTGGATTATAGATGCCTTGTGCTGCCAAAAACAGCTCGGTACAAATATGACGATCATGCTCTCAAGCTTACTTATCGTGATGATCATGATCTAAGTCAATGTTATTGTGACATATGTGAAGAAGACAGAGATCTGAAGCAGTGGTTTTATCATTGTGCTGATTGCGATGTTTCTGCTCATCCTAATTGTGTGCTTTGGAAATCCCCATTTGTCAAGCTCGGGAAACCATTCCGGATTGATGTTCACGAACACCCTGTCACTTTGGTGAAGATAGATTTTTACCCTCCTAAATGCAACGATTGTGGTAAGCCTTGTAGAGATGACCTATCCATTCAATGCACAGAGCCAGATTGCACCTACATATTCCATTGGGACTGCTACCGGAGTAAAAATTTTAGGATTTGGTATCTTCTACATACAGACTAAAGAACTGACACTGGTATTGTTCGTATGATATTATGTCTCTTATGAAGGTAGACGAAAATGAGATATCTCATTTGCACTTAGTTTTGTTTTCAACTAATTTTTAAGTTTAGTTTGATCTTCTAGCTGCCGGGTGATGGGTGATGTTGTTGGACTATAACTTATTTGTTTCGACCAAATATGTGATATGACTATTGTTTGAAATTTGAATGTATTGCTTTGATTAGTTTTTTTTAATCAATAATTCGGTTGTCTCTGTACTTCAAATACCAGAAAAATATTTCTTTCTTCTTTTCTTTTCTGGTTTTGATGTTTATCTTTTACTATGTATCCTATATATGCTTTCTTTGATGGTTCATATAATTTGTACTTATACTTCTACACAGCGAGGTGATTTTTTAATAGCATGATACCCAATGTTGTTTTTGAAACTTATTACCAGCAATTTTTATTTTGCAAAATCATATACTTCCTCTCATACTTCATTCTCTTCATGGCAGCTCTTGACATTGAGGTCTCGTCCGATAAATTCTGACTCCACTGGCTCTTCAATCTCTTCAGCCATCTCAAAGGGAGAGTAGTAACTGGATGATCCAATATCATCCACAAAATGAAAATCCAGTGCTTCCATATCAGGTCCTTCTTCAACAATGTCTTCACACCTGGAAGATTGAGCAGCATCACAGAAACTGAAATAATCCAACCCCAAATCTCTCCCACTAGAATCTTCCTTCTCTGTTAAACATGACTCGAGACTTGTTGTCAAGTTGTCAAGTAATCAGAAGCATTTGCAGTAGAATTACTGATGTAGCAGCCATCAGCTATGCTGTATGGAAACCTAGGTATATGCCATTTGTTCACCGCTATTCCAATCTGGCTATAAACTAACAGTAAAGTCAATGCCATAGACGAAATAGATAAACAGAATGAGATTGCTACAATTGGGGAATACAACAGGATGGATACTGACAGATAACTAACAACTCACATTTTTCAGAGGATATGTATACTGAATTACTGATTCGTTGGTCCGATAGCAGACAGAGGGACCAAGATCCTGAAAGGTTACAAATTCAAGTTCTTTCATCGTCATATGGTGTAAAAATATTCTAACATATAATAGCAAATATAAATAAACAAAATTGAACTTAAAGGAATTAATATGGGCTTTTAGAATATTGAAATTGATGTGGGGATCTGTAAGATTGTCAAAGATGGTTTATGTTTATTGGAATTTCAGAATCTAAAATTCTAGAGAATGAAAATCTTCTGCAAAAGATATGGAACCAAGCCAAATTTAGAGATTTCTTGGAGGTAGAAAAGAGATAAAAAAGAAAAAAAGAATCAACATGGCCTGATGTCTAGCTGTACAGGTACACAACACAAGCAAAAACTATATTATGGAATATGGAGTAGCAACCTCATTTTTGGAAAGGCTTCATCTAGTATATGAACAGAAGGGATTTCCTTTCGTTAGCATCACAGACCATCTACAGAATTAGAAGACTACTAGAACTAGATATGGCTACTTATCAATTTCCAAATTCCATTAGAAGAATACTTTACCAGCTAGTAAACCTGGAACATAGGAACTAGATATGGCAACTTCAAACTTCAGCAGCTAGAGCACCAGGGAATATTGGATTGGCATCAAATCTGGATCATGATAAACAGTGAGTAAAGTTTCAAGGAACTCGGACGTGGTAGGATCATTCAGGTCTTCTCTATCTTTCTTAACAAAACACTTCATAACACACAATATTTTGGTTATTTAGGTGATTCCTAGACAGGCATAGAAATAATGAAAGCAAACCAAGACAACTGGAACAGAGAACATAATCACAGATGAAAATTTTAACAGGTAGTATCTGAAACATGATAAGTCAGTAAGCAAGAACACATTCTCTATGCATAGTTTAACTCCAATTAGGGGCAGAGCTCATTAGGCCTCCAATGTCCCATGTAGATGACCCACAACGCACAGTTATGTCTTGCTTTGCTCACACCAAAATGGCAAAATCATAATGGTCTTCTCTATCTGACAATAGCTAGGAGAAGCAGCCAATTGAAATAACATGCAAAAACTTAATTACAGTTCCTTAAAATTCCACACAAAATCCATGTTCACTTTCTTGCCGAAGCTCAGCTAAAAATTTTCTTTTAACCATTTGAATAATTTCAAATTACTATTACAAATATCATAACTAACCGAAAATATCGTAGGAGATGAAGTGGTGCAGTTTGTCTTAACTTATTATATTTCTTGATCTTAAGCGTGTAGTGAAAAAGAAGATTCCAAAGAAAGTGAAACTTTTTTTAGAAAACTGCCCATAGTCCAAACCATTTAAACCATCCAAGAATGTTTTCTTGCCACTTTACAACTATTGATACTTGTACAGAAGCTATTCCAATATAATCAGATCAAGGCTGCATTTTTGAAAACTAATGCCGTGCTCATTTTCCACGCAGACAAATTGTAATATCCCAAATTTTTGGGAATATTTAAGTGTAAGTTAAGGACTTGATTGTGAGAAAAGATTGTTTTGGGGCCTAATGTGAATATTTCAAAAGTTGAGGGACTTAAAAGGGAAAAGAATTTGGATAAGGATGACTTCTTTTCTTTTTCTTTTTCCTTCTTTCTTTTCTTCCCAGCCCGCGTGTTCTGCTCTTCTTCTTTCTTCCCGCTGCAGCCCGAAATCCCCCCTCCAAGCCGCCGGCACCAGCTTTGAAAAATTGGTGAGAAAGCTTGGAATTTCTCCTTCTTTCTTGTCCAAGAACCTGATTTGGAACCCAGAAATCTTCCCCCCTTGCTGGAAATTCCAGATCTGCCTTGCTCTGCTTGTCTTCACCGCCGGCTGCTATGTGGGTGGGTGATTTCTAGGCATTTTTTGGGTAAGAAACAGCCATTAAATCCCTTTGTTTTTCCTTGAATTGCCTTGGGTTTGCCTTAATTGCTCTTGTTCCTCCAATTTTTTGGGTAAACCCGTGAGCTTTCCCTGCAGCTTGCCGCTGGCCTCTTCCCCCCTGCAGCTCCGGTTTCTACAGCTGGAGAATTATGGTATGTGACAGCCTTTTAAGGCTTAAATTGTCCATTTAGTTTGCTGCCTTGTATGTCCGAATTGTGTTGGAAAAATGGGGAAATTCCGGTAGCTTTAAGACCATGATTTAGCTTAATTCAAGTGGGAATTATGTGATTGAGTGTTAATTGATTGTTGTGTGATTTTTGGAGAAAATCCCGTGAGATTAGCTAGTGTTTTGGCCAATTGGTGGAAGTGGAGTTACTGTTCACGTCAGGGTACTGTTTACGGTTACTGTTCACCGACACTGTTCACACACCGAGGGCCAACAATTAACGGGAATTTAGATGATTAGTTTGTGATATAAGAACGAATTTGGAGATATCTGATAATGTGGAGAATTATAGAAATAGCATCATGATTAAGGATAGTCTGAATGATGATTTTAGTGTGAATTTGTGATAGTACGGAATTAATTCTTGGAATATTGTGATTAGGTTCCTGATCGTTCTGTCAGTTAGCACTGAGATTGAGTGCTCGGTTTTATGCGAGTGAGGTAAGTAAAATTATGATAACGCCCTTTGACTTTTCAAGCATGTTTTGATTTGTTTTTGAAATGGTGGCGGGACTAAACCCGTTTTACACGAGCATGATGGATTTGAAGTGAAATGTTTTATGCTTTTCATTAAATTGAGCATGCCTACTTGAAATTTGATTGATTGTCCTGAAAGTGATTTGAAAGTGATTGGTGAATTATGTTCTTCTGTTAACTTCAGCCTGTTTTGTCCCCGATGTGGTCGTGTTATTACTGACCCTGCTAGTGGGGGTTAAACGCTAGCACATGTCGACATGTTATTGATAGGACCAGTTCGTTCGACTGACCCTGCTAGTGGGGGTTATACACCAGCAAATACTGACCCTGCTAGTGGGGGTTATACACCAGCAAATACTGTAGCCTGCCAGTGGGAGGTTTAAACACTGGCCGTGACCTATAGAGGAGACGTCTATTTCGTTCCCGCACTGTAACCGTTTTTCGTGATTACACTTGTTGGCATGCTATACGTTTAATTAAGGGCAATCCATATTTTACTTACTGAGTTTATCTCATAGTTTTTCCTTGTCCACCATTTCAGGAAGTGAAACCGAGGACGGGGAAACCACGGGAAGTGACGAGTTAGAAAGCTAGCCATTTCGAGATTGATATAGATTTTAGAAATAAATCATGATTTGGTAAACTCGAGTGTATTGGAGATTTTGATGGTATCAGAGCAGATTTTAAAGATTTGATCTTCAGATTTTGGTGGTATCAGAGTACATTATGATAAGTTCCGAGCCTTGTGCATTTGTGGGACTCGTCTCACGAGTGCACGGCGTCTGCCACGTCCCCAGATTTGGGTTCTGGGGCGTGACACAAATAGGGAGAATCAATGTGTTGTCAGGTTCGGAAAATCACATAGAAGTATGCAAAGGAATGTGAAGATTTCTCCATTATAAGTTAGTATGAGGTCTGAACCATGAGGCCATGTGCAAAGACTGTAATAAAAACTAACCATATAAGATTATAAATGGTAAAAAAACACTTTTATTTTATGAATGCAAAATTTAACTAACAGATAAAAAAAGAACCATAAACCAACACAGAAAATATGAACAGTCAAGTAATGTCAGTCCACCCAGCTGACCTGTATCACAGGGATGAAGCAGCAGCTAAAACTGAAATATTCATATGGTGGGATGGCTATTAACAGTTTGAACCAATT